AATCATTTCATTTGAATGAATCAAAGTTATATGAAATCGAATATGTTGATCGTGAATATCTGTCCAATAGACTATTTCGAGATGATCTCTATTAGAGTTGACACTTTAGGTTTAGCTAATTTATCAGAGTGTTTTTAAAATTGAAGTGCTACTCCTCGTCTTTATCTTTGTCTGTACAGCATATGATAAACAACGTATCTACGTTGAATCAAAACGACAAACGATTATATTCAACTCATCTAGTCTTCAATAAAAATCCTAGAAGGAGAGATTAATCAAAATACTTACGAACAACAGTTTATACCGTTTCGGCTACATGAGCATTGTTTACAATCTTTTGATTTCCATGAATCACTAAACTTACGTACTTTACCATCTATTATTCCGCAATTATCTGTAATTATGAAGGTATATATTTTTTTGACACTATATTTATTTTCTTTCTACAGTTAAATTACTTACGTGTATTCCGACTTGACAATGGTTTTACGGAACATTGTGTTTGAATAATATCAAACATTGACATGAAAATAATTAATATGAGAAATAATAATTTCATTATCATACTAGAAAATGAAGTAATGCAATAATCTTTCTCAGTTGTACTTTTTTTTTCAATACCTTTCAACTGACTCGCAACTTTTTTGATTTTATAGGCTTGATTTTTCTTTTCAACCAAAATGATAAGACAAAAAGAGATAGTATCAGTTTCAATAATATGATGCAGTCGACTGAAGTATTAGTTTTGTGTACCATTTATTTAGATAATTTAAAAAGTGATATTCGACATAGAGAAAAGAATAGATCCGTAATATGTCAAGCATAGAACCAAGGTAAACTAGATAGATGTGAGAGATACTGTAATCAGGCCATACAATTAAGGAGGGAGAAGCTGAGGGGGGGGGGAGGAGGGAGAATTTCTCCACTCTAAATTTTTTCTTCGGTTATAGCTTTCTCCTTAGAAATTTTCTTTACAAGCACTTAACAGATTTTAATATTTTAGTAGATTAACTTGATGAAACAACAACTGGTTTTTCTTGCGATTTTGAGTTCGGACTCTGTGCATAAGATAGACTCCATTGAGATATGAAAGACTTGAACAAGAGATATTCCCTTAGATGCTACCCAGAGTTATAGGGATTTTACTGCAATTTTAGCCTATGACATAGTATATACCAACAAATCGAATGGTGGTATTTTGAGCTGAGATTTTGCTCGCAAATAGATCTGTTAGTAAGCAAAATGTCCTGAAAATTTCAGCTTAAAAAAAAAGAGAAAACTAGAATTTTCAGGACATTTTGCTCACTAATATAATTGTTTGTGGGCAAAATCTCAGCTCAAAATACCGTCATTCGATTTGTTGGTATACAACATGCCATAGACTAAAATTGTAGTAAAATGTCTATAAGCAATTTGACAAATGAAAAGAATCCCTCTTGAGAGAAAATAGTTGGTTTCGTTTTGCATAGTTCATTCGGTTCATTAAAAGATTATAATTCGCAAAGTGCTTGTAAAGACAATTTTCATAGAGAAACCTATAACCGAAGAAAAAAAATTAGAGGAAAAAAATTCTCCAGCTTCCTCCACGAATTATATAGCCTGTAAGTTTCAGCTGAGAATATATTTTATTGTAAAAACTAAATGCAAAGAATCGTTTCTCTCTAGCTTTGGAAGACTCTCCCCTCTAAGCAAAATCAAACGAAAGCTATGACTGTAGTCGAATCTCTTCTTTGTTAAATTCTAGCTGACTTTTGTAATCTATTTATTATTGTTTGTGAGCAATTCATGAACTTCATAGAATATTTCATTTTACTTTTGTCTCTTATTGTATAAAACACCATGTCATTCAGGTATCAATAAACAAATCAAATTACAAAGGAAAGAAATGAATTTCTATTTCAAATCAAGTGAAAAGAGAACATGAAACTATTAATATTATTATTGCTATCTTCGTTTATTCTTTATCTATTGAAACTGATACCACTTGTTTTTTCTTACCATTTTGGTCGTGAAGGACAAATAAAGTTTATGAAGTCGAAAATTGCATGTCATTTAGCGATAGTGAAGGAAAGTATGATGATCTAAAAGCAATTTATCATTTTGATTCTACTTAGAGATGTTTTATAACATATGATGTACCAAACACTGAGCGAGATCGTCTCCGAAATATAGAAGATGCTAGTAAAATATGTTATCGAATCAGAGATGTTTATCGCGACTGAAAATCTGCCACTAGTATTAATCGAAAAATACTGATCTTATTGATGTTTTTTGTGCATATGATTCCAAATATTTAGCGAAATCTTTCTAACTCCTCCTAATTAGCAACGAAAAGTTTAACTTGTGAATTACTAATAGAGCAGCCTGGTGGCTCTCAAATGACAAATATCACAATTTCTATCTACTTCTACTGAATAGTTATAATAATAAAATATCATTGTATCTAGGCATATCAATAATTTCTTGATGAATTTGTAAGTGATTGTGATTGAACGAGAACTGATATTTATTTTTGGGTTTTGGAGGAAGAGAAAAGGAGAAGCAGCCAAGCCAGCAGTCAGCAGCCGCTCAACTGACAATCTTCAACTGAATTTATTCATGATGGTTGCTTACGAAAAACAAGAGTATCTAAAAAGAATATTAGATGTCGAAACATGACAATATCAATATGAATACATGCCGAGTTGCTCATAAAGAAACCTGATACCGATACTCACCAATGTCCCATAGAATGTGGATGTAAATGAGAGTTATCGATTCACTCACACGCCCATATCCACACCCGCACCTACAGGGTTGTGCATAACCTTTTGCTAGGGAGTAGCGCTATGATTGGGTGTTGGTGTAAACGAATAGAATATCACACTCACACGCACACCCCCAGCCGCACCAATCCACACCCTCTAGATGTAAACGGTTCATCTTTCGCTATTCTTTGATGAACTTGCACAACGTAAATCTTCGAAAATATTTTATTAGTTCAAATAAGGTAAGTTTATTTTTTAACGGCTATCATGGATAAAATATCGGATGATCTATTTGTCAATCTATTTCGATTTTAGAACAATCTATAACTATAAAAAAAATGCATTTCCAGCAATTGTTGAAAGGACGTTCTTCAATTATATCCCATTTTATCGAGTCTTATTCTTTTCAACTATTCAGAATACGCCGTGTAACTATTTATACGTTAGATTTTTCAGTCAACATTGCTTGTTTTGTTTTAAAGATTAGACTAAGAATAATATATTTTAAAAGTTTATTGCTTCGTATTGTTGTCTTTTTCAAAGAAGAAATCATACAATAATATCATTATCAAAGCACAAAAAAAATACTAATGAATGAAGACAACAGAAAAAAATAATATATCAGTGAAGACAACAAAAAAAATATCAATGAAGACAAAAAAATAGTATATCAATGAAATCATTAAAAAATAATACATCAATGAAATCATCAAAATGTTATGTATCAATGGAATTATCAAAATATTGTATCAAGGAAATCAAGAAAAACAACAATACATCAATGAAAACAACAGAAGAAAAATATACATCAATGAAAACAACAGAAGAAAAATATACATCAATGGAAACAACAGAAGAAAAATATACATCAATGAAAACAACAGAAGAAAAATATACATCAATGGAAACAACAGAAGAAAAATATATATTAATGAAAACAACAGAAGAAAAATATACATCAATGAAATAAAAAAAAATAGATGTTTAAATGTAATAAAACGATTGATGTATTTTACCTTTTAAAGCATAAAGAACATCACCATAATAACAAAACATTGACCTTGATAACCATCAATTATTCACATATGGACCATTTGACTTAAAGTGATGTTTTTCTTCTTTTATTCCGTGTGCTTGCGAACCGAACTAAATACAAAACCATATAAAGGAATATTTTTTTTTGTTGGAATATTTACCATTAATGAAGGGTGGAGGTGTGGATGTGGGTGTGCGTGGTGTGTGCGTGTGGGTGTGGATGTGGATGTGCGTGGTGTGTGCGTGTGGGTGTGATGTTCTATTCGCTTACACCCACATCCACATCCACAACCATACTACACCCACAACCACACCGAAACCCACCCACACCTACACCCCACACCCACACTCTCGAGGGTTCAGCGAGTCGAAGCGACGAGCATAACTCGTTTGTTGTATAGTAAATTACATCGGAAAGTGTACAAGTACGAATTCATTGAATGTCACGGTTCGACAAATACAATCTGATGGAAACTATTATTTTCGAGCGTTAAGGGATCAAATAGCAGGTTCACGAGAGAGACATGTTGTTTTATGAACACTTATTATTGATTTCATATTGGATAATCGTGAAAGATTTGAATCATCCATTGATTGTAAACATTCTTCTTCATGGGAAGATTTTATTTATCGAATGCATCAAAATGGAACATTTGCTGATGGCATCGTAGTGGTCGCTTCCGCAATGTGATTACGTAGACAAATCATTATTCATCAACATACACAATGTCCTGTATTTTTAAAATCTTTATCTTCTATTACAAATAATAATCAAATACATCTCCTTTATGGTTCCAAAAGCCTTTATTATAATAGTTTGTGGCCAATCGGCGGCAATAAACTATACGTTGGCGAATCAGAATGGGTTTCTGCTTGAATATTATCGAATAGATAACTATTTTAAAATAACAAGTTTATTAGTTTCAGTTAGAATTCAACGAAAACATATATACACGATATTTCCAATAAATTATCTTCTAAGCTATTTTAGATATGTGAGTTCCACATTTTAGCCTCAAAGGAGCGGCGCTAATAAGCTTTCTGATTAAATGTTCCTTTAATGAATTTTTAATACCATTTTGTAATACTGTAATAATTTGTTATTCAGTAATAAATTCTCGAGCTTTTCTATGTTTACGAATGACATGTTCATAAAATGATGTAACAGATTGATTTTCCTCTTGATGCATAGGAAAAAATTCTTGCATTAATTGACTGCCAGATCTAGACATCGGCGTGACCAATATTTTTTGGTCACGGTCACGATCACGATCAGCTTGGTCACGGTTATGACCACAGTAGTCACGCCAGTCTCTATTGAAACGGTTATTTTCTATTCTCAAAACAGCATACCCTTCTATCACAATAGAAGACCCCTATCTTACAAGACTTCCCATAATAGAAGACTCCCTTGGAGAAAATATATGCGAGACTTAATATAAGATCTCATTCAATTGATTAATTTTTCGAAAAATGACAACTTTATTTACTGAGTTTACACCATAATATGCCTAGTTTTCAGAATTTTGAGCTGAGAACCTTAACTGAGTGTATTCAACACTTTATCTAGGCTTGTAAAATCCTAAAGCTTCCTTCTCAAAGCCTCAAAATCGCTTTGGCTCTCTGAAGGATCTTTCTAGTGAAAAACTATAAAAACAAAAGAGACATAATAGAAGATCTTCTGAAAAAATTTTTCGGTTGGACACAATAGAAAACATTGGGTCTTCTCGTGTGGAAGGGCGAGAGGCAATATAACAGATCAACGAACAAGATTAGGTATGAAAAAAATTGATCAATTTATGTTTTTGAGAAAAAGTCTTAAAGTTCTTGAAATTTTATTTGACCAAAGCCTGAATAGAAATGAGCGAAATCAGAACAAATGGAAAAATGATCAATCATCAAGTAGGTCATCTGATACAAATCAAAAAAGTTAAAAGTATATGAAAATGACATTATTTTTGTTCAAGGAGATGATAATATTTTTTAATGGTGCATTTTTTTCTAAAGTATTTCTATGCGAACTGTTTAAAATGTATTAATATTGAGCATATTTGTTCTGGGATTGTGATTGTATTGATTCTATTTTTTCGTTTTGAGTTATCAAAACTAGAAAAGGATATTGCTACATATTGAAAGAATACTAAATATAATATTTAATTCTCTAACGAAGTTTGAAAATAGCTGTCATATAGCTACATTGAAAATTTGTCTGACTGGTCGTGACCAGGTTTTGGTCACGGTCACGCCGATGTCTAGTCAGATCGAAATTCTTCGAATCGATCTCGTAGTGCTTTTTCAGCATCATTCCAATTAATAAATGATCTTAAATTTTCTTGATACCATCGTAATGCTGGTCCCGTTAATTTGCTCATTATTTCGAGAATTTTTGTTTCATCTTTTAATTTCATTATTGAAAATAAATTGTTTAAGTCGAATAACCATTCATCAATATCAGTTTCATTGGATTCTCCTGAGAGTTCACTTATTTTTTTCATTACCTCTTTTCGGCTTAAATGAAGTTGTCTAATTTCCATAGAATTCATTTCCATTTCTTGCATAAATCACATATCAGTTATTTTTTTATTTCGTATTCTTGTTAGTGAATTTGTAATTAATTCTTATAATAAAAGATTCGTACCACTTTGATTGATCGCACATCTTGTGCCGGTAGCCATTGTTAAAAGATATATATGCACTTAAAGGAAGGACAAAAAATTTGAACTTTACATAGAAGAAAAATACCTTCTTATGATAATTAAATTTTGAAAATAATTTGTGTATAAATATGTAATTTTTCTCTCTTCCCTACAAGGATGAGATAGTACTTCACTCTTTTCGTCACGGATGAGTAAATTTATTAATGAGTTCGTTCTTCTTCAATATGGTAAATAGAAGAAGATGGGTTACAACACCAAATTGCTAACGCTCGTAAACGATGCGCTTAAGTTTATTTTATTTAAATAATTCTAAAAATGTCCTTAACATGTTGTACACATATATAGATTACACAACACAATAGAAAAGAGAATAGAGAAGAAAGGAAGAAAAGAAATAACAATAACGATAACAGTGTAAAAAGATAGAAAGATATCAAGGGTGGATAGTGATGAACCACCGCTAACATATACGAATCTGATAAACAACTTGTTAAATAAACCATGCGATGGAATATTAGTATACACACAACAATAGACCACAATATACAAAATAATGAATGTATTGATAATTTTTTTATCCTTAAAAACTTGACAGTATTTCGACGAGTTCAGAATGTTTATATATATATATATATATATATATATATGTATTATTTCACAGTGTCATTTACTGAGTTAATTCAAAAAAGTGATTTGAATCAATATTAACATTTGTCTAATCAGGGATGTCCCGAATATTTAAAGATTGGGGGCCGTACTTAAAAATTCGCACTCAAAATAGTGTAAGTTTATTTTTTTGGGATACATTGCAAGATTATTGTAAGAATATCTGTTCGAATATTTTTATTCAAAGAAATAAAGCATTAAAGATAAATTCAGAATATCACAATATAAAATAAAAGTTTTAAAAATTAATAATTTGACCTGATACAATTTTTATTCGTCTGTTCTTTAAACGTGACCATCTTCAGCAACGTTCGATAAATTAATATTTTCTAATAAATCTCTTTCAGTTGAACAAAGTATTAACCATTCCATTTTATCAGTCGTCAATGTGAATCTTAATTTATTTTTAATTAACTTTAACTTCGAAAAACAACATTCATTTGTTGCCACTGTTATCCGTAATGCAAGAAGAAATTGATAAACTCGTTTAGCATTTGGATGTCCATTGCCGATTATTTTAAGTTTACTAATAACTTCGGGTAGTTCAATAAAACTATC